TTTTTTTTAGTTTATCGATGAAAGACTCGCGGCGCTGAATTCGGGCACACCGGTGGATGATGAATTTGAGAAAGAAATTCGTTTGACTGCAACAAAGTCGTCGAAAACATCTCATTTAGTAAATTTTCATCTTTTTCCCATGGGATACAGTTACAGCAAAGCTCGAGACCCTCGCGTTTGTTATGCGTTTTTGCTGTAGAGCGCTACAGCACTGCTACAGTAAGCAGAAACGCATATTGGCAAGAGGCTATGTGTGTGTATCTACATGTTCACACCTTCTGTCAGTCATTTTCAACTTGAGAACCAGGAAAGTTAGAAAGCGGAAACTTCGGGAGCATTTGTCCACTTCCTGTGCAACCCTCTCGTTTCAGTATTAACATCAACATATGCCTGGGTCTCATTTACGAACGCCTCAAAAAATACGCAAGTTTTTTGGCGGAAAAGCAATCTCAGGAACCGGAGAAGATAGAGAGCTGAAACTTTGCAGGGATGTTTTCTGCGCGTGTGTGGGCTAAAGATTTCAAATTCAGCTCCTAGGGGTGCATAACTCTCACGTACAGGCGCCCGATAGTTCTGGCGGGAAAACTGCTAACTCGAGAATAAGAACTGGAAATCTGAAATTTTAGGGCAATGTTTCCTGTCCAAATACAACTTAAAGATTTCAAATTCAGCTTTAGGTATGCGTAGTTCTCGCGTACGAGCATTTAAAAGTTTTGGCGAGAAATTTGCTCACTGAACAGATAGATCATTTCCAAAGAACGACTGGTAAACGGAGAATGATCATTTTCTTTTATGCAAAATTTGGGGTGATTTATAATGGTGAATGCACAAGGCAGGTGTAAAACAACAATCATTCATATAGTTAACGACCTGATTGCTTCGAGTTTCTTTCTGCAAAAACGCATGATTGCATAGACAAGCCTGGCCTTTCCAGTCTGGGTTAAATGCTGCAGAAGTACGAGGAAGCGCACCGTAGCGTTATTTTCATTAAATATATGTTTAGCCGGGTGTAAATTTCGGTACCATTTGCAGAACCATCCAGAAATGCTTCAGAATGCGGTAACTTCTGTAAGATTTTTGAAGCATACCGTTGTGAGAGTTGTTGTTGTTTGATGTTTTTGTTTCTCTTTGACTGTTTCATCGGAATGGTGAGCCAGGGGGAGTGAGGCCATCAGAGTTATACAATTTGAAATTTTCCCAGAATTAGACTTTTTTCGAAAAAATAATATTACTTGCTGTTAAAGCATAGCGTTGGAGACCGCTTCACTGACACTTCTCTTAATCATTTCGTTTTGAAACACTATGAATTTTGGCGGTTCAGTGTATGTGATCTGTGCAACATGTGTCGTGGTTAAAGTGGTGCATGTTGTTATTGTTAATTGCTATTTTCATGCCTGTTTTTCCTGGATTTCGGCTATCCCCCCA